GCCCTTGAGAGTCTGCTTATTGAGTTCGACCCCACCGCTGAGCAAAAGGAAGAACGCCTGAGCAACAAATAGCCGGACGAATGAGCACGTATCGTTGCATGTCCAGGACGTTTGTCCTTCATCTTACCTCGAACCGCGGTCTTTCTCCCGCGTCGCACAGGCAGCGGTTGATTGCCGACAATCAGATATTGATATATGTATGTACCTCGCCAGTTCCTCGTCATTGAATCATGTGTCTTTTGCTTGTTTGCTTTTCTGTTTATTTGCTTCTTTTCATCGCACCTCGATCTCCTTCATCAATGGTTCAAACGCCCCCCAATCCACGGATTTCTGATGTCATTCAGATACGTCACACACGCTCTTTTATGTCAGTCAGTCCGCTTCAGTCCGTTGTCGGTATTTGTGACCGCTTATAATAGGCCCACTGTCCATGCGGGGTCTGCGACGCGGCGCGTTCTGTTTAGCCATCAAGTGCATGTGAGTCTGCTCCACCTCACTGATGGTGGTCTGTTCGGTATTTTCTTCTCAATCGACGCCACTTTCCTCTCCTACACCCCAATTCCCTTTTTCCATCTGCGGCATGGTCCACTTCCCCGTATCACGCTAACCCAGTCCTGAAAACTGTATGATTGCATGCCCGACCCTGTGACTGCGTCTCCTCCCATCTCTCAGTAGTCGAAAATATTTTATTTTCTGGTTTACGTGTAGAGGTTTTTGCCCTCCGCCGCACCCATCTTCACTCTCTAAGTCTCCTTCGAAGCTATACGCCGTCGTCTCTCGGGCTTCGTCCAGTTTTCAAGTCTTCTTTCATCCTCTATTGTATTTTCATTTGATCGTGAGGCTCGCATCCAGTTGGGTTTCCTAGCACCTCGATTTCACAGTAATCGTACAGTTTTTCTTCTGCTGTGACGTTTTCTATTCCATTTCAGAGTGGCAAACCATGTGGGAATCCATGTGGTTGCTGTAATGTCCTGTACTCTGTACTCTTGCAGTCGAAATACGACGAGGAGACTGAGCAGTGAAAGGCACGATAACAATGCGAGAAAGTGTATGCTGTTGGTTCAGTGGTCTAATGGTTATGATTTCTGTCTCACATGGTGTTCTTGGCAATGGATGTGCACAGAAGGTTCTGAGTTCGATCCTCAGCTGAACCATATCCGAGGTGACTTGCTATTTTGTATGCATTGTAATTGCTTTTTGTGGGTGTGCGTCACTGCTTCTGGTCAATTTGGTGTGCTCAATACTTCAAACCGCTCGTCGGTCACTAGCACTCCTTGTCGGTGTCTGCGAATACCTTGCCCTGCTCATCGATCATCGCGTTTCTTCAGAATGCTCATTGTTTTGGATCTCATATGTATTTGGATCCCAGCTTGCCTGGTCCCACCACTTACATCTGCTCCTGGTACCTACCGGCGGGAGCGACGACGACGTGCGGCACAGAGTCAATTCAACAAGGCTACAAGCAGACGGAACTACAAAGTAAATACCCTAATCAAATGTCCGAGACAACGAACAGGCGATACACAACGAGCGCGCGAAGACGCGGAGAGAGGGAAAAGGTAACGAGTGGATGCTACATGGATGTATCGGCACAATGGCCGTAAGCACAGAAGCCCTGACCCTCACAGAGGGGCACGCTAGGATATACATATTCTCGAAGGGACCGAATCACTACTATCGCATGAAAAATAAAAAGAACCAAATCTAGCCTTCGACTTTCAGCCGGTCCAGACATCCTATATGCAAAGTGAGATGGATTGAAAGAATGCCGAGAAAAAACTGCCAGCGTACCGGGCCTGGTTGAGTGTAGTTGGTGGGGATCGCTGGATACACACATAAATTAATGCGATGCTGGATATCAGCTTCAAATAAAATCACGACTTACGGTAATAAATATCGATGAGCAGACCGGGCTCGTATCCAGTGTAAACACCAGGGATCTCAACAAGGGGGCTGGGCGTGCCGCTGCCTCCGTTGACAACGTTGACCTGTCCGCAGCTAATGTAGAATTGGGCTAAGGGAGGTGTCAAATCGTCGGAAGTGACGGGACGAAGGAAGGTTGGAAGCCCACCTCCGCCGTAAGTCTCCGCCTCGTGAAGAGCGATCGCTTCCATGCGCACGAGGTACCTATCGACGAGCGAAGAATGCCACAAGAAATTAAAGATAGAAGGAGGGTACGCACTGGCCAGATGGCAGCTCTTCCGGAAGCGTGAAGTTGACACCCGGAAGGTCTGCGCGCACAATCAGGCATTCAAGCGTTGCGGACAATGATTTTGAACGTACCCTGAGCAGGGAACGTGATCGATGTGCCGTTATTGGTTACAGCGCTTATTTGGTAAACCTAGTCCAAATAAGACGTTACCTTCGCAGCAAACAATGGCAGCCCTTTTCTTACCTTGAACCAAACTTCACCAGATCCTGCAACACCGCCATTAATGCTTAAGCTCAAAGAAACCAGTTGCACCATCACAAGACGCACCGTCAAAGCTCTCGGCATCATCATCATCGCTGGAGGCGCTTGCCATGTAGACATTCACGACCTGCAAAATAGCGATCAGCAGTCGCAAGCGAACAGTCCACACCATGAACCACTGACACCGGGATGATAGATCGAACTATCGCTCATGATGCCGAGATTCGAACCTGCAGCGACGGTAGCTGTCTTTGCAGTCGCGTTAGTCGCGGAATCATAACACCTCAGATCCTCGCTCGTGACATCCGTAACCTGCATACGCGACCATCTCAATGAAGAACCACAGAGAAGAAATGCTCAGGAGAGATCACCCACAGGAGCCTGACTATCGTAGTTATTGGTCATGCGCACGTAGACCCAGTCCTCCGTGTCTGTACCATTAACAACCAGGCTTGGGAAAGTGTCTGTCGTGACGGGTCAGTCTCTTGTTCAACTACTCCCTTCAGCACCGGGAGTAGGTATTAAAAAGGAGAGAAATTGAAGAAAAAAAGGTTGATGAAGAAAAAGCACGTACAGTGGGCGGAAACACCCTGAAGGACGCAAACAAGTGCGCCGAAAGTGATAGAAAAGAAGGACGACTTCATATCGATAGCAGATAATTCTTGTAATGACGAACTTTTGCTCGTACAGGCCCTTTTATACTGGACCGTTGAAACAAGCATGTACAAAAGATACCGCAAACCTCGTTAGCTGTTGTGAAGGAGATGGGTACACTGCGCAGACAGCTGTCCGTTCGTCCTGGAAACTGGCCTCGATCTCCAGACTCTCACCGAGTATAACGCGAGGAACTTTCGGCGCGAAGGTAGCCAAGCGACCAAGCGACCAAGCGTACGATGATTGCTTGTAGAGAGACAAAAAAAGATCAAGAAACTGAACTTTGGCGACACCTCGGTAAACGACAGGAGCTCAGCCCTTCCGAATCACCTGAAGCACATTACTACCATCAATAGTCCGCAGAGAGATAGTTCGGGAGAGCCAGGGTCGCACAGAGGACCAGGCTCGGTATAGAACGTGCTGGCAGTGCGACGAGAGAGCATGGCTTGCAAGACACGAAGAACCATCCATGATGGTCAACAAAAACGCCTAGTTCGCCGCCCGTATATTCTCCGTGGAAGGCCACAAGCTCCATTTCTTCCACCATGACTTGGGCCAAAAGGCAGGTAGAATTACAACCATACAGAGAGTGTTCTAGGAGGATTCCGATACGACCAGAGGAACTTACCACTGCCATAGGCCCGGGATGATGCCAGGTGAAAGTCAATGGTTTCCATAGACGCAACAAACAGTGCCCGATGTTCGAGTATGATGCCGTACACTAAAAAGCCCATCTAACGCGTGGTTCAAACAGCAGATACTACATAATAGGATTGCTAGCTCTTCCGTGGGGAAACTGATCCAGCAATGAGATTGCTGACTCCTCCCGTGAGGAGTCTGATAGAGGCAAGCTGGAGGCACCTAGTAGCTTTAGGACAGAACGCCGGAGAGTAAGTACTGCAACCGATCATGGTCCAAGGCCTGCTGGTGAGCGATAGGGGCGCCGCAAAGGACCTGGTCAGTGAGGGGGGGGGGGACCAGAAATCCGTCGAGCGGGAAGGATGAGGCCTTGAGGAGGGTGGGTCGGGCGAAAGAGCTAAGATGAGCGAAAAAACGAACGGCAATGGCAGCAGGACGCAAAAACCCCCGCCGCGTCGCGCGTTGCACGCCAGCTAGTCATTCGAAGCGAACACGTGTCCGCACTGCAATACCTGCGATAACACTGGGTTAGCAGAGCTCGCCCTGTGTTATCGTCGAGAAGAAGGATTTGGACAGGTTTGTCGGCGTCGACTCGGCGACATCACGGGTTCTGTCATTGCAGCACGTATCCAGGTCCTTTCGATCAGCATGGATGTGTATCAAAAATAGTCTCAAGCAGCAGGTTACTGTCGTGTCGACATGTCTCTGGCCATGGCCACGGTTGTGGACGTGGTTGTGGATGATTTTGGCGTGTTCAGCATCGCCGATGAAGCTGTCAAGGCACTTCGATCGCTGGCCATTTAGAAGGTTCCATAAGCTGATCGTTCGACCAGCCAACACCGTCCGACGAAGCTCACCACTATGTTTGAATAAATGGTCGTCACAATCTCATTATTAAGAATTTATACAGGAGCGTAATAAATACAATACTCGTCGCTATACACCCTGCGAACACTGTAGCAAGGATCATTGCGATGCGGACGACACGGATTGTGCAGGCAGACTGTGACGGACGTGCGTCACGCAACATCGTCGTCTTGATAACCAAGGTCGTCGCAACACCCCAACGAGGTCGTCGCAGAGCTCCTAACAAGCGCTTGCGACGGACCACTCACAAAAAAACACGCAAACGACATCGAAGGAAACATACAATGGATGGAAACGAGAAAAGGACGCGGACGGGGAGGGAACAGGCCACGGGGCAGAAGAGGACGACAGAACGGATGAGGAATTCGGCACGAACAGGTATCGGGCAGAGATTTGGAACAGGATCGCGCAAAGATAAACGAGAAGTGTGTGGGAGCGAACATGAGAAGCCATGTACGGATGCGAGCGGAGAAGGGAATTCATGAGCGCGAACGAGGAGCGATTGGGACAGGAAAGAGATGTATGGATACGAGCGAAAGGACACTAGAGGGAGAGGCACAGAGACACAAAATCAGAATTTGTCTCACAAACAACCGGCAGCCAGGCAGGCAATAAAAAAAAACTCAGATCGGAAAAGTGAAAGAAAAAAAGAGGTATATCCGGACACTAATTACAGCCAATAAGTGGCACTACGGGACGGCGGATGGAAAAGTGGCAAGCTAGCGTAGAAAAAGAAAAATTGTCTGTATCAAGAAAACGGAGCGTCCAACATACAAATACAGGCAGTTGCACAGGTAGTCGCACGCACCACCGGTGTCTAATCTCGACCCAATAAACATACTAATAAACAAAGAGGCAGCAATGAGAAAGACTCACAAAATACAGACCTCGAATAGGGGAAAACAATGGACGACGAGTTATGTTTCGGCAAACCGCTGCTACGACCAGATATCGGTCACAGTCTGTCGACGCGGTCGACGCCCTGAGCTCGCCGGCGTCAACGTAGTCGCAGCAGCGCTGCGGTCAGCAGGATGTGCTTCTCCCGCTGCCGACCGGTTGAGTGACAATCTGACGCTCCGTGCATTATTGCTGGGACGTCGACGACCGTCCCGCTCTGTAGTGTCATCCCCCCCGCCCGACAGCGCGCCTGCGCGTCGACCGCTGTCGGCAAGTTGCTGCTGGATCCCACTGAGCGCAGACACCGAGATCGTATTCGGCCGCGAGAACGCGACAGATTCTGTGGGCGATGAATGAGACTCGCTGCGTCTCACGGGGAAGCGTACAGAATCGGGCTTGTTGGATACAGTGTGCGTCGTCACGGCCGTAGTGGCGTTGGGACTCGTCAGCGAGCCCGGGAAGCTGGTGGCATGTCCGTGCCCACGGACGGTGGAAACTGATGAGCCACGCGGTGACGGTTTTGATTTGTCTGATGTTCTCCGTACTCGAGGACGGGAACTGGAAGACTCCCCACCACTAGACAACGTTTCGCGCTCGGCTATCGCGGTTTGACTACGCCTATAGTTCTCGGAAGGCAAAGATGACAAAGGTCTTGGAAGGGTCTTGCTACGCAAAACACCATCG